ATATATATATATATATATATATATATATATATATATATATTATAAAAGAAGAAACAGAAAGACGGGGGAATAATTAATTTTAACGATGGTTAATTAATCTATTTATTTTCTTCCAACTTTGCAGGTAATTATAACGATGTAGAAAAAAGGTAGAAAAAATCTATATCGTGTATTATATATATATATTATAATATAAATAATTGCTATAGCAAATTAATAATAAAATTACTTTTTTGTGTGTCTACTTTCGTATGATAATTAGCGTGAAATTTTGAAATGGCTGAATTTAAGAATTGAAAAATGAATTTTAAACGATGTTTATAATATGTGCTAATGTCCTCATTTAGAAGTTCTCATTCTCCTTGAAAAGTTTCAAAGAGTTATTAATAAGTGATGACTGACTATAATATAAAGTGTGGTGTGAAAGTGACGGATATAGAAATATCGATCTGACAATTTAGTAGGTCAGGCTCATGTACATTGGCCCAGACCTAGATATTCACGTCTTGTCGTCTTTGTCTTGATTATGTAGGTATTTCTAAGTATATACCCAAATCCTTTACACTTACCATGATGTTACGATGAATAAAACCACGTCTTAAACGTGCTGGCCTTAAATGTGGGTATTCTTCCGTGCTAGTGACCTTGATGTTCCAAACTCTTTTCCAAGCCTCATAGAGGCCTTCGTGGACCGGATAAACGCCTGAATGATGAGGACTTACGCTGTATCCGCTTACCGTTGGTATTCCGTGGTCCTTTGCGAATTGTTTGTTCAGTGCCATGTCCAATTGTAGGTGGGTCACATTCTCGTAAAGATGGGGTTGTTGGTGGTTCCACATGTGGGAAAACCACGTAAATCTACGAATAAGATTAACAAGATAAAATATATACTACACGTAGTAACCTTGGTGTATATATATAATTATAAAATTCAACTAATTCTATTAGCAGAATTTAACTGTTAAAGGATAAACCATGACAAATAATAATATAATATTTGATTAAAATAATTGTTCACCTGTCGACGTTCTCCAGAAGCATATCGTCCCCCAAATTTTCCTCTGCTATTCCGTGATGAAAATACTTCCCGGAAAACCCCAAGTTGAATTTGAACCCCGGAACCAGTGCTTGAATCTTTTGTTGCGTCGCCAGCAAAGCCATCACGTCGTCCCTCTTCAACCTCGTACCTTTCTCACCGACGAATATATCGTCCACGTCAACAAGAATCATACGATTCAAGCTTAGACTCAGTTGACCGTGCGAAAGATACGAGAGCGAATCGAGGAGTAACAACTTGTGCAACCAAAATCTTAGACCTCCACCGAACAGGACTCTTTGAATGCCGTCGTATCTTCCATGATCCTGTTGAAACAAATGTGATTTGTAATGAGACTAATCTATGAACGATAAATCCGACACTTGAATATTGTTGTTTCAATGGACTCGCTTAAATGATAATGTTAACATCGATGCCGAAGAGGATCGAACGTAATCACAAGCATGTGAGCTGTTAATTGTGTTGTTCGACGATAATTCTCTCTCTCACTCTCTCCGTCTCTATTTTCTTCCTCCCAGTGTATGGAATTTGCTATGAAACGAGCTTGTTAGCAGTAAACAACAATAATAATCTCACTGATAAACCCCATTACCGAAAAGGGTGGATTGCAGAAGAGAAATAGAGAGGGTAAAGTATCACAGGTAGTCAGTTAATTAAATCAGGAGCCAATCAGCTGTTGGTTCATTCGATTAATGAGCAACGCCGTGGTTCACTTGTTTCATACCAAGCAGTGGGAGAAGCTACGAATTTATTTTGTTCGTTGATCAGCTTTACTTCTGCTTCTCTTTCTCTTTCTTTCTTTTTATTCCTAACAAAGCTTTATTCTCTTTTCGTGTACGTAATACCTAACACGTATACCGTTATATGTATATAAGCATAGAGAAAGAGTAAGAAGAGAAGGTGCACAAAGCATAGTAGCTACTGTATTCTCCTCCGAGGCACCGAAATCACAACGACGATGTCCATAAATCAATGTTAACGTTTGACGTTCACGTAGTTAGCCGAGCGCGAGCCACTGTGGATCGGTTTCTTTTATCAAATGCGATGAAGCTAACGTTTCCTCCAACTTATCACGGAGGAAGAAATTCATCTGGGAATACGGAAATAAGTTTATCTTCCTTCCACTCAACTTCTCCGTCCACAGATTTTTACATACAATTGATATGAACTTGTTAAATACGTGTGTATACGCGCGCGCGCGCGTGTGTGTGGACGTGTATAACATGTATATTAGAAATATACTGTATGAAATATACGGAGAAAGAAAAAAAGAGAGGAAAAAATACTAGACAAAAGAAATGAGACTATCGAGCGTATGTAATATTCATATATAATACATGGAATGTCATAGTAGAACGTTTTCAGAGACGTTTCTACATATGTATGCACCAATATATATATTCTAGCTATAAAAATAAATGTCACTTTGTACCGTTTTATTTCACTGTCTATTGAAATCATATATAAGGCGTATTACCATCCACCATAAACTTATCTACACGCATAATTTCACTGTAAATTTTCTTTCCTACGACTTTATAACTTTCCTTCTCTATCCGACTCAACATTTGTATTGGATCGTTCACTTGTTTGCTTGCTTGTTTGCTTCCTCGCTCGCGAACGAAGCAAAGACGTAATCAAAGGGTATAACCGGATAAGTATGGGAAATCTGCCCCCGTGGCTTTTTTGACTCGCACTTGGGGGATCGATTTGGTGTCGAATAAAAATAATTCACCCCAAATTTTAGCTCTTTTACTCAAACGGTTCTCGAGATTTTTAAAAAAACCTGTTTTTTCGATTTTATTTTTTTTTTTATAGTAAAATTCAAAACTAATCAATGATGATTTTTTTTCTAGTTCTTAGGCGTCTAAGACATGAAAAAAAATATTATCATAATATTTTAACGAAAAGCCGATTTTTGGCGGACGAAAGAAAATTAAATTTTTTTTTTTTTAGCTTTTTTGAAATATGTCAGTCACCAAAACTTTTCAGAAAATGTCTTTTATACTCCTCTACACTCAGGAATTTTCTTGAAT